AACTCAACCAACAAAACAACAGTCTCTTAAAGAGTACCGTACAACAGAACAGGGTCGGCTCAAGACCTATGTTAAACACTATCCTTGTTGTGTTTGCGTGAGATAGTGCTTTGCCCTTTTAAAGGTGGAGCAGACGGAGCATACGGACGACACGGATTATACAAAGGTCAACAAGAATACCCTCAGGTTAAACACACCATCAAAGACCTGCACACACGCTAGCTCCAAAGTCCGATTATATGTTTCCAATACCCTGAGGTCATCTGATCTGTTCTGGTCAGGTTTCCATGGAAACACCTCATCCAGGGGACAAGGAGGAGGAGGAGGAGGATGATGATGATGATAGCAATAATGAAAGCAACATTTTTATTGTAATTTAAACAATACTGAATATTAGGTCCAACATTTCAAAGAATGGTGCACAGCTCCTGTTTTTATGCAAGAGTGGATTTGTTGGGAAACTGAGATTTCAGTGGATTGTTTCTGCAACAAGATTACTGAAGAGACAACCAGACAACTAGATTACAGTATCACTTGTGTTTTACTGTTTTACTCAGGTTTGTTATCTTGAAACCACTTTCTGTTGAGGAACTTGTTAGCTGTTGTTTTGAACTGCAGCACTACGTACTAAAACTAGCTGCTTGGCACAACAAAATACTGTTTATAAGTAAATACGTTGTGTCTGGTTGTAAAGAAAGAAAGATAATGAACCAAACGACTAAAAATGCTCAAATAGCTTTATAGGAACCGTTGTATAATAATCTTTAAAAAAAGCTTCATTTAATTTCTAGTGATGGATTTATCTCAGTCATTGACTGTATACATAGAACATGGTGCTGATTTATATGAATTTGAATCATATTTAGTGGAAAACTTCATTTTCCCAGGAGACATGCAGTTGTTTCACCAGACTTTGTGCTAAAGTGTGTCGTTTATATTTTTGCGCTGGTGATTTTCATCATAAAAAGTCTTCTTGTACCCACTGACACCCGATGCCCCTGATCTCTGTGATTTGATGAGCAATGATTGTGGTGACTGGAATTCAGCTGTCAGTACTGCTTTGTCTTTGTTCAAAACCACACTCTGACGTGTTCTTTCTTAAATACTTTTTCCTTCTTTTTTTGGACCTGTAGACAGTAATAAAACATTTTTTAAAGACATGCAGTTCTGCCATTAAGGAATGAGCTACTAATACAACAGTTATCATAACCATAACTGTAAATATCTAACAGTAAACTTTAGCCGCCATAAAAGCCACAAACACACACACCAGGGTCTGGCCTTGAGATAAAGTCATAAATATAGTGACACAAAATTAGGACAATGTATATGTAGAAACAGAGACAACCATGACATACCATATCTCACCGCTGGATTTGAAGGAAATGCTTCTTCTATGTCTGTTTAGCCAAACATGCTGCAGGTGATTGGATCAGCTTTAAAGCTACAGTCAAACACCATGTTTTTTTTTCTCCCCGTGTCGAGCATCTGGTGATCAGCGATTGATGACTTCACTGATGTGAACAATATATCACTCATGTGAAGTGTTAATTAGACATGTGAGAAGTGGCAGCGAGCGTTTCCTGCACCGACGACGGTCATTAATCAAAATACAGAGATGAATGTTCAGCGAACTGTAACCGACGCTGACACGGGCTGCAAATGAACACAGAGAGCTTCTCCTCACGCCGCTGTCTCCCCGCTGTATCTCCTGCACCAGGTACCAAATGTTATGTGATCATTGCATCTCTGATCATTAATCACAGTTCTGCTTAATTCAATGCCAAAAAAGGTGGAAAAGAATCCATCATGGAACCCTTCCATGTCTTTAGCTGAGAGAATTGTACACGGATTTCTGACAGATTTTGGTGCAAAACTTGAAAAATGAGGAATAAGGATTGTGTAAATCATGTGTATCATGCCGCGGCATCGAGGATCAGATTTGAAAATACAAGACGTGGCACAAACACTTTGACGTAAAGATGTTTAATCACTGCGACTGCATACTGTAACGGTTTTCTTTACCATTTTCCTGGGTACACAGGGCACAGACGGAGATGTCCCCGTGACACTAGGAGCTTCAGTTAGAGATCCTTTAAGTAGAGTGGATCTAAGTCAGGCCCCACAGAGAAAAGCCAAGACTCCTTCTTAGAATTCAGGGAGGTTTTAAATGGAACCATCTTGCATGTGTTCCTCGTGTGTGTGTGTGTGTGTGTGTGTCACTGTAGCACTGTATGATTGACTGATGGCTGGTTGCTCCAGATACGTCAACTTGGCAGGAGAAGACAGGAATAAGAATGCAGTTTTGGTGCATTTTGTACACGCAACATCTGGCATATTTTATGACCATTTCTGTAACTACAGCCAATGAACAGAACCATTAAATATAGCATTGCTCTGCTAATTTAAAATGCATGGTGAAGAACATATTTGCAATATTTTCCAAGCATGTAAGGTGAACTCTGACGTCATATTCCTTATCTTTATAAAGGTTCTGTGTCAAGGCTAGAAAAGTAGAATTTGAAGGTTCCAATGTAGGAAGGTAGGATTTGTCAAAGTCTTAATGGGGACACATTACACTACAGTTGCAAAAAATAAATGAGGCTCCGCAATGTGGTCGGTGAGCGGTCAGTTTCTGTGCCTTTACCTTTAAATGGTACCAGCCAATGAATGCCCTGGCCACCTGGGGATGATGTCATGGAACCAAGGAAACGGCTGAGAAATGGCTTCATGACTTGCGTTGTGTTTTTTTTACTGCTTCTGACTATTGTTCAGTGACTGTTTGTATTTTTCGCTGCCACCTTTCACTTTTCTTTTTGCTGCTTATCCCGTTGATCAGGTGGTAGCGCTGTGCGAGCCTGTAGTGTTGTATTACAGCCTGAACTGCCCAGAGCTCCGCAGGAGGGCAAAAGTAGACAGACAGAGTCACAAAGATGTGTACGGTACCAAAACCCCATCAAGGAGAATTTGTAAGAAGATGCCCTCTTTATGATCCAGAAGTGGAATCCAGTCTGTTAAGACCACGAGGGGTGTCACTCTGCCATCTTTAGTCTAAACATTAACCTGGTTGATGGCTGTATATTTTTTACATTGTTTACTCTGTGCTTTACCCTTTAAACCAAACCAGTCTGTAGTGTCAGACCACAGCACAGCTAACACAGACTGTTGAACATGTCAAAACATAGTTTATTCATTGTTACAAGAACACACTGCATATATTTATCCTGGGGTGAGTGGGAAAAGAAATGCAAGAAACCAGTGTTTACCTGTCGAACATTGTTAGTAGAGTCCATACCGGTCTTGGTACGTTATAAAGACATTTGAGAACTTCAGTAAAGATTCTGAAGTCCACTATCTTCTATTTAAATTTTTTGTAATCACCTGGCTGTCAGCGGATTCGACGGTGAGGATCGCAGCTGTGTTCTCATTTGTCACTCCTGACAGTGGAGTCGGCTTAGACATCCACACAACCAGTAAATAAAAGTCCCAGGTTTCTCTTCTGTCATGATTTGCTGTGTAAACCGCTCAGAACTGAGCAGAGTGTTCACCAAGTGCACAAAAGGCTCCTGCAGATGGCAGATTTCTTCTTTAAAACACTAATTAAAAAAGTCACTTCAATCCCTGGGTCCAGAAAAGACACTATTCAGCTGTAGCTGTGAGCTGAGAACGCTATTGAGGCTAAAGTCAATGTTAAATAATCATTCTCACCTCCTCCATGCACTGACGGCGTCTCGTCAATGCACCTTCCTTTTCCATTTGATCCCTCCACAGTGCAGAACTGAACACTGCAGGAAGTCGTCCCCGTCGGCCTCTTTCAGGCTTTTTGATGCGTTTAGTTATTGTTTTGAATGTGGCATTATTTTCCGACTCATCTAAGTTTCCTTTTCAGTCGTCTGCGTTGGCAGCTTGAGCTTGGAGTGATAACTGTAACACATTCCCTTTCTCAGATAGAATATAATAAATAAACAACTTTACTTGGTCTTTAGTTATGTCTTAAAGTATTTACGTAAATTCCTTCTCTTCGCATTCTGGGGAATGTCTTTCATACCACGTTACAACCTCCTTATTTGCCAAGTATACGGAAAAAATCAAATTCTTTTGCACTTTGAACTTCAAAGCTTCAATGATTCAAACTGGTTTCTGATTACTTTTGGTTAAAAGTGTGATGTTTGCTCTGATTTAAAAAAAAAGTCAAATTTTGAGCTTTGATGAAACATACATTGGTCAAACACACTTCAACTCTTGACAAAAATATAACAGTAATACTGCTTTTTATGACTTCAGAGGTGTGTCTGAACATAGTTTAGTTACAAAAAGTGGACGCTCCTTGAATTTATATCTGTCTCACTAGCTACTGTCTGTGACCTTAGAGCCAATACCTGTATCTGTACTAAATTATATGTAGATCATTGACATGAGCTCATGAAAGAAAATGCATCGTCTTTGTTGACCAGAGATTCATCCTCATTTCCAGAACATGGTGTTAAGAACGCAGAAAGACAGCTCCCCCTGATGGTCAGAGAAAGAGAGAGGGAAAGACAGTGATCAGCAATGCAGGGGGAGAGGGAATAACAGAGTGGATATGCACACACACACACACACACACACACACACACACCTCGGAGTGTGGTATTACAGTTTGGCTGACAGTGCTGCTCTGAGCTTAAAGATTTGCAGTGTCAAAGCAACTCTATTGTACTCGTTAGTGTGACAGTATCCCGCAGGAATGTGAAGCTAACTGGTCTTTTTTTTTCACACAATAGATATGATCAAGTTCAGCTGGGACACCAGCCACAGAGTTTAAAGCTGGTATAAAGGAATAAAAGAAACTCAAAAGTAGAGGGAAAAAAATATCACAGGGACACACATTCAGCTTC